CTGAAAGAAAGAGATGGCTGGTAAGGAAAGTGGTGCAAAGACTTCACCCCATCTTGAAATATTCAAAAGCAAAACTGAAATTATAACAGTAGTAATTGTGACATTGGGTTCATAAAGAATTAAACAAAAATTCATTTATTTTAGCAACAGTGTCTAATACATGTCAGGTTCCCTTCTGTAGCTGGTGTGATCAACAAAAAAAAGTCCCTGTCCTTGGGCAATTTATATTCAAATGAAGATACAACCCTGGTCTCAAAGAAAATGCTCAATGATGTCTGTTACTTGAAGATGCTGATTGTTCCAGAGAAATGAAGTCTAAACAAAAAGAAAATGCTTTATTAGGGAGTTACTTGAAACTTCTAAAATACGTGACACACATTATTCCAATTAAACATTTATGCTATATAATGAATAAAGTTTAAGTTAAAACTGTAATTAGAGGCTTCCCTGGTGGCGCAGTGGTTGGGGGTCCGCCTGCCGATGCAGGGGGCGTGGGTTCATGCCCCGGTCCGGGGGGATCCTGCGTGCCGCGGGGCGGCTGGGCCCGTGGGCCGTGTCCACTGGGCCTGCGCGTCCGGAGCCTGTGCTCCGCGGCGGGAGAGGCCGCGGCAGTGGGAGGCCCGCGTACCGCAAAAAAAAAAAACAAAAAATTGTAATTAACTGATACCAGTTAATTAGCTGTCACTGACAAAGAATCCCTTAACTGGAACCCAGTAAGAATTCTTTGCTATGGAGGACTAACTATGATTTCTTCTCTCATTTCTACAAAACCACACTAGAATGACAGCTAACTCAGGTCTTCTAAACCTACATGAAATATCAAATAGGAGAGGAGATACTATCAGACTAAGAAGAGTCATTTTATTTAGAAATGAAAAAACAGATAAACATTAGGTGATGGACCCAGTTGGGTTTTGATATTCTCTGCTCTGAGGGTCCACAGTGGGAACAGGTGAACAAACACCTGGAAAAGCTCTGAAACTGATGGTACAGGCACCACAGAGGGTAGGGAGTTCTGTGGTGAAACGAACACAAGATGACTGCTGCAAAGTCTATGGGAAGAGTACCAAAACCCTTGGGCTCCCTCCCCAGCCCAAGCAGCTGCTCCTCTCCTGCTTTATCAAAGACAGGTTTCATCACTTAAACTGAAGCAGAAAGCTGCTAGATTTAAGATATCTCACACATACAAGGGTATCTTACAAAAAACAGAAGGATTACGCGAAAGTTTGCAAACTACATGGTAAACTCAATGAGGGCAGGGACTTAACATCTGTTTTGGTTACTGCTGGATCCCCGTTACCTACCATGGTTCCTGACACATAGCAGGTACTTAATAAATATGCAGCAAAAGAGTTTAGCAGACGAGTTTTTTAATCTCCAAGAAAGCAGAATGTTCAAAAAAAAAATCAAGAATAAACAAAAGAAGAGAAAAATATAAAATGTGAACATCAATCCAGGAAATTCAGCACCTGACTAAAAGGAGTAACTAGAAAGAAAGAATAGAGAGAACTGGAGAGGAGGGGTGATTACAAAGAAATAATGCGTGAAATTTTGCAGAGCTAAAGTTTCCAAGCTGGAAGTGCCCACTGTCTAACACACACACACACACACACACACACACACACAAATGCAATTTCAAAATACCAGGAAGAAAAGATTCTAAAATATCCAGTGTATTTTACACAGAAAGATCAAAAATGAGAATGGTACAGGATTTCAACAGCAATCCTCAAGCTAAAATATAATGCAACACTGCCTTCTAAACTCTGCTGGAAATGGTTTCTAAACTAGAATTCTACATGTAGCCCGAAGAACAATCAAGTGTAAGAGCAAAGGTACGATAAAGACATTTTCAGACATATGACGTTCTCACCACTGACCTCCCACATATCCTCTTTCCCTACTCCCCACAAAAAGCAACAGGAGAATGTATTCTGCTAAACTAAGGAAAACGAAGTCTCTGCATTTAGGACACAAGCGATAAAATGCAGAAGACAGGATGCGGAATTCCTAGGATGAGAGCAAAAAGGAAGTCCCACCATGACAGCTGCGCACAGGCCTACAGAGAACAAGGTAAGACTGCAGTAAGAATAGAAGGCACTACCAGGAGGAATGGTTAAACTAAATAAATAAAAACCCTTGGTGGGTGTCTATGTCTAACCATACTGAGGATGTTTCATTTGGAGAGTCTAAGGGTAAATTAATGACAAGGATCAAGAAAAATGTCTTTTTACAATTAACTCAAGGAAAAGCAGAGTTAAATGAAAAAAGAAACATAATGGTAAAATACTGCATGGCTTCGATGTGAGTCTTGCTATCATAATCCATACTGATGTATCCTAAAATTGGTAAAAAGCTACATGACGGAATATGCGGAGAAAAAGTATAGTGGGGGGAGGAAGTTAAAAATGAAACCTCCACCACCCAAAGTAGAAAGCCAACCGGTAATTATTAAAATTGATAACTCAGGCAATAGTCATACAAGCCTGGAATTTAAAAAGGGAGGGTAGACAAACAAAACCAGAACAAATAGTTTTTGTTAAGTAATTGCATCTGGGTAATAAAATGGGCATGGGAGAATGGGGTAGGAATTTGCCCTTTTCCTTATAATGTCTGTAAGACTAATGCTTGCTAAACTATAGATGTACTGCTTTATAAAACATGTTAAGTTTCAAAAAAATTTTTTTCACCCATTGAACAACCTATTCTAATCCATTACTTCTTATCTCATAATGGGATTATGGATCTTTGGAACAAAAGCATGTAGTCTCACAGCAAAAGAGGATTAAGATTTATATACAAATTTAGTAAAAGACTAATTTTGAATTTGAAAAGCTAGTTCTCTGCTCAAACTCGTTTATATTAAATTTAAATAAATTACACTATGAATAAAACTGCAATTCATGTCCTCATAATTTTGCTTTAGCCCCTTGCCAATGAAAGGAAAATTAGGCACTTAGTCTAGAATCTCAAAAGCAACCACCAACTATGATTATTTTTAAATTACATTATGTTACATTGCGTTAAATTAACATAGCCTCTCCTCTATTTTTTAAACCAACCTTGTATGTAGATCCACCTTGTGTGCAAATGAACTATAAAGCAGGGGTCAGCAAACCTATGACCTGAGTGGCCCAAATCCAACCTGCCCCTGTTTTTATAATACCCACCAACTATGAATATTTTAACCATTTTCAAAAAAAGGTAAAAACCAAAATTAAAAATAGGAATATATTTCTTGACACATGAAAAAAAAAGTCACATGAAATTCAAATCTCTGTCCACAGATAAAGATTTACTGGAACACGGCCTTGTTCATTAATGTTTGCATCTATGGCTGCTTTCTAGTGATGGCAGAGACTGGATGGCCCACAAAGCCTAAAATATTTACTATCTGATCCCTTTCATATTGTTGACCCTTGAACTAAAGGATTCTAATTCCATTTGAATTTTATTTTTATTTTATTTCAAATGAAACTGAGCAAAATTCATATATAAAAATATACATATAAAAAGTCCTTGAATCAGAGGTATTTGAATAAGAAAACTTAGGGATGGCCTACACAACCTTTGAAAGAGAAAATAACGGTCTGCTTAGGACCACTCAGGGAAATGGGCCCAGAATGAGGACCAGAGTCTTGGCTCTGAGATGGCTGTCCTCTTAGACATGCATCTGTCACCAAAGTTTTAACCCTAGTATGCCTCTGTTCCTACTCCACTCTTCAACTTGCTATTACTACATCACTTATTTCATTTTAGTTAAAATGCTAATAAAACATGCTAATTTTTAGTTTGGCCTTCCCCACATATTTAAAACAGATTTCTGTTCATATTTACTGTTGACTGTGTCAATAAAGCAGGATGGAATACTGGTTAAGGACAGTCTCTGGTGTCAGGGAGACCCAGGCCCTGGCTCTGCTCCCAAGGACCACTCTGCCCTCATAATCCTCTCAACTTCTCTAAACTTCACTTTTCTCACCTCTAAAAGTAAGTGTAGTACCTACCTCAGATGAGCAGTTAGAACACAATGAAAAATGTCAAGAACTTAATGTTCTGACTGTCAGAATTAAGAGCTCGAGAAATGGTACCTATTATACTTTGTCTTATCATGTCCAAGTATTTGATAAGCACTCATTATCCTTGAAGAGTTTCATAGGCAGTGTTCTCAAACCTCAGTGTGCGTAAGAATCACACTGGTGACCTTGCCAATGCAGATTCCCTTACCCCTACTCTCAGCTACCCTGATTCTTTAATCTGGAGGGTTAAGGTTAACCCTTAACCCCATTTTCGAGCTCAAGTGTGATTTGGATGCGAGTGATCCATTATCTAGGTAGTAAAGTGTACCTAGATAATGAAACAGACACCAAGAGGTTAAGAGACAAGCAAAAGCCTAAATAATTACAGCCTTAAGTACTAGTCTATCAAAATAGCAAGGAGCTGAGTACTACTCATTCCTTTCGCTTTTTTTTCCCCTGCTACAACTATCCTAATTATTTCTTTTTACTTAAGCTTATGTTGAGCTCCATAATTAAATGTTACATACAATATGAAGATTATCTCCTAGCTTGTAAAGGTTAGGACTTTCAGTTATACATCCAAATAAACATTTAGGGAAGGCAAAAGGTCAGTGCCCAGGTCCCAGTGGAATCCCAGTTTACTATCTTGGAATTCAGCGACACAACCTTGTAACAATTCCCAGAGAATGTAAGGCTGGCCCATTTTATGTACTGGTACATTCATAAACAGAAAGAAAAAAATAGAAAAATAATATGTATTCCTACAACACTAAAAGAAGCTGAAAATCTGGCTAAAAACAAGCACAAAACTAAATATATTCTATACCGAGAAACCCTGATGTATAAACATATGAAGTGAATCACATGCAACAGCTGCACCTTAGGGTAAAGTTTTTCAACTAAGTGTCAATTCCAAAACCAGCAACAAAACAGAGTGGACAGTGGCAGGAGTTTGAGGATGCAGGTGTACGGGTTCGCGGTTACCTTGCTCCAGTCTAAAGCACAGGGAACGCCTTGCTGCTTCCATCTCCGGAGTCGGATTATCTAGGACATGTCTACACCACTGCAAAGGGCTCAGGGATTTCTCTGATGACGGGAATGTCTTTGAAGAGCCAACGTATAACCTTAAAAAAAGAAATCTACATTATAGGGATTATATAGCTACACAGAGATTACCTCTCTTGTACTTGAGAAAACAACATGTATTTAACAGTTTCTATCAAAACAGAACTCACATTTGATTACTTCAAACACCAAAATCATTTTTAACAGATAAATATCCCCTGGTAGAATATGACACATTCTGTAGCTTGGTGGCAAGGAGGACTTCAAAAAACTATGGAACAATGTCTCAGAGAGTCGGAGATCTGGGGCTTTGGCTACTGAACTGACCTGGGGCACCGTGATGATCTGATCAGCTCACTTATATTTCTAGAAGTGAACATTTTCATCTCTCTTTGACAACAGAATCTCATGTGAACTTGGGCTAATATACATAAACATGATGTGGCAAACAAGGCAAGTCTTATTTGCATTTAACAAAAGTAAGTCTAAAAACAAAAGTCAGCTGTTTGTTTCTCTCAACCCTTAAATAATCAGATATTTCCCCTGTCTTAAATCTATACTAAATTTGATATGTGCTTCTTTCTCATTAAAGCCAAATAGCTTTCAAAGATATGTTTTAGGAAGAGTTCACTTTCAGCATCTTCACCATTGCACAATAGTTGGCAGGATTCAAAATAACCACCCTGGGGCACTACAAGTCATAACAAAGGTTTTCTCTCATTGATGTACTGTTTTAAGGTAGGTTTTAGAATATTTTCAGTGATAGGGTTATACAAAAAGGTTTACCTTGAGAATTAACCAACAGTTGACAGAAAAAAGAAAGAAAATTATAATCACAGGCTCTAGTAACTGACCTTGCTATATAAAGCTTTATTCTAATTACAAATCTCATTAAAGTAACACTACTTCAAGCAAAGTTACTATACTTCTAATGGGCAGGTATTCTTGAACTAACATACTTCATTATTCACTTTTACTGTTATCGTCCAGTCCACCACCTATTCGAGTAATCTATCCCAGAGGGCTGGGGAATGTAGTATTTAGCAAATTATTCTCATAGTTCGGGGTTGGCAAGCTTTTTCTGTAAGGGCCAGCTAGTAAATATTATAGGCTTTGTGGCCACATAGTCTCTGTCATAACTACTCAACTCTGCCTCTGCAGCCCCAAAGTTATCCCGACGATAAATAATAAGTACGGCTGTGTTCCTATAAACTTTATTTATAGATACTGAAAGTCGAATTTCCCATAATTTTCACGTGTCAAAATAGCATTCTTTTGATTTTTTCAATCATTTAAAAATGTAAAAATCTAAGCTGATCAGCTACATAAACCAGGCAGTGGGCCCAATATGCCCACAAGACACAGTTTGCTGACTCCTGTCAGGAGATGAAGATTCTAAAATCTCTCTCCTCATCAACTTGACAGTAATCCTAATATGTCATTCTTCCCTTAGAGTGTGGACCACACTCTAAGAGAGCATGTTGGTTAGTTAAAAATTCTTATTCCTAGGTCCCACCCTGGCCTACTGTGTCAAGATTATCACCAATCTATGTAGATCCTTCCCTTCTGCCCTTCCTTGCTGTCAGACCTCTGCACTGTTACTGTGTAGCTCTCTCTAGACCCCTGTCCAGGACTGGGTAGCTCACTCTAGACCCCCAACTAAAGGTTAGTCTAAGCCAGTTGTTCTCAATCTTTGACGTATTAAAATCTCTCAGAGGATTTGTTAAAACACAAATTGCTAACACCTGATTGCAGGCAGCTCTAACCTACCTGATTCAGTAGGTTTGGGGTAAGACCAAACAATGTGAATGTCTAACAAGTTCCCAGGTGATGCTGATACTGCTACGTGGAGACCACACCTTGAGAGGCATGCACTGTGCTGAGCCAATGGTGCCAGTTCCATTAATCCTATTTGCCCAATGACTGGTTTAGGCACAAGCCTTGGACACAGTCCTAGACAATAAAAACTGAGGGGAAATATTCTGATGGGCATGTGAGCAAGTTTCTCCTCATGTTTAAAGGGGTCACGAAAGACCCAATTATATGTTGCCTACAACATGAGTACTTTAAATATAAACACACGGGTTAAAAGTAAAAGGACAGACCATTGCAAAGACAAATGAGCAAAACCTACCCACAAAGAAAACCCCAGGCCTAGAAGGTTTCACTACCAAATTCTACCAGATATCTAAAGAAGAATACCAATTCTTCACGAATTCTTCCAAAAAAATAGAAGAGGAGGGAGCACATCCCAACATGGTCTATGAGACCAACATAGCTATGAAACCTGATACCCAAACCAGACACAGACGTTGCAAGGTAAGAAACTAAAAACCAACACCCCTCATGAACACAGAAGCAAAAGGTCTAAATGTTTTAGCAAATTTGGTGCGACCATATATAAAAGGGGTACTTCGTCATTACCAAGTGAGGTTTATCCCAGGAATGAGAGGTTGCCTTAACATTCAAATACCAGTGTAACTTATCACATATACTAAAATAGAAACACCATATGATAATCTCAATATACAAAGAAAAAAAAACGTACGACATCCATTCCTGATAAAAACTCTCGGCAAATTAAAAAAGGGAGGAAACATCCTCGATCTTACTAAAGGCATCTACAAAAAAGGATCCTTAACAGTGAAAGGCTGAACACTTTTCCCCTACTATCAAGAGCAATACAAGGCCTGCAGGTTCTAGCTAGCACAATCAGGCAATAAAAACATTTGGATTGGAAAGAAACAACTCTGTCTTTATTCACAGACGACATGATCGTCTATGTAAAAAAATCGTCTATGTATAAAGGAATATACAAAAAAAGATACTAGAATGAGTTTAGCAGCAAGACTGTAGGATACCAAATCAAAGTACAAAAGTATTTCTATATTAGCAACAACCAGTATTTTTGAAATTTCACTTCCCATTTACAACAGTATAAGAAAACCCATAAGATGCCTAAGGATAAATCTGACAAAAGATGTCAAAGACCCGTACACTGAAAACTACAAAACATTCTGAGAGAAATTTAAAAAGAAACAGAGAAACGGACCATGTACATGGGTCAGAAAACTAAATATTGTTAAGATGTCAATTTCTCTAAATTGATCTATTTAACAAAATTCCAACCAAAATCTCAGCATGCTTTTTGTAGAATGTAAAAGCTAAAATTCATATGGAAATGCAAAGATCCTAGAATAGCCAAAACAATGAAGTTGGAGAGCTACCGCTAACTGATTTAAGACTTATTCCAAAGCTACAGTAATAAAGACAATTTAGGATGGCATGAAAATAAATAGATCAATGAAAAACAATAGATGGTCCAGATACAGAAATACTAACATGTGGAATACTGATTTTTTTGACAAAGTACAGAGACAATTCAATGAAGAAAAGATAGTCTTTTGAACAAACGGTGCTAGAACAAATGGATACACATATACAAAAAGTGAACCTTGATCCACACTTTACACACTATCCAAAGTGAACTCAAAACAGATCACAAAAATATGAAACCTAAACTGTAAAACTTTTAGAAGAAACTACAGATGAAAAACTTTGTGTCCTTGGGTTGGCAGTATTTCTTAGATACATATTTTTAGACTCAAAGCATAATCCATAAAAGAAAAAAAATGTATCAACTGGACTTCATCGAAACTAAAAGCCTTGCTCTTTGAAAGACTGTTAAGAGAATAAATGACAAACCATGGATTGGGAGAAAATATTTGCAAATCATTTATCTGATAAAGAAACTTACAAGTGGAATATATAAGAAATTCTGCAAACTTAATAAGCAACCCCGTTTTAAAAAACTGGTAAAAAGATTTAAACAGATAGTTCTCCAAAGATGAGCTATGGATGGTAAACAGGTGTATGAAAAGAGGCTAATCATTAGTCATTCGGGAAATGCAAACTAGAACGCCAGCGAGATCCTATCACACAGCTGCTAGAATGCCTGAAGATTAGATTAGCCATAGCAAGCCTTCGGGACGACATCGTGCAACTGAAACTCCTAAACTGCCAGCAGAAACGTAAAATGCACAACCACTTCGGAAACGATTTTGGCAGCTTCTTTAAAAATTAACGTGCACCTACTTTCTGTTACAGCCACTCAAAAGTCATGAACTATTTACCTGAAAGACACAAATGCCATGTGTCTATGCAAAGACTTATCTGTAATAGCCCGAAACTGAAAACAACCCAAATGTTCATGAAAAGATGAATGGATAAAACAAACGATGGTTGTGTCCTTACAATCTAAAACCTTCATGATAAAAAGAAATGAACTACTGATTCATGTAACAACAGAGGTGGGTTTCAAAATAATTATCTTGATTGAAAGAAGCCAGACCAAACCAAACCAATGAAAAAGAGTACCTACTATATGATTTCACTGATACAAAAGTATAGAAAACACAAACTAATCTAGATTGACAGAAAACAGATCAGTGGGTGCCTGAGCTGGACGTAGGCAGGATCAGGACAGGAGGAGATAGAAGGGGCCACAAGGAAGTTTAAAGCATTGGGCCATCTCCACTATCTTGACTGTGATGATGGTTTTATGGGTTATACGTGGGCCCAAATCTATCAAACAGTACATTTTAAATATTTGCGATTTATATTGCACTTACACCGTAATGAAGCTTTACGAAAAACTCACAGAACAGTAAGCAACTGACTTCCCACCCTTCAGTGAGCCTGGAGCTGCCATCCACCAGGCAGCTGAATCACAGAAGCAGGTGCCACAGCCCTGACAGAAAGGAGCCACAACACTAGGCAACTGTGCAACCTCCTTATCTTTCAGCTTCTTTTAAATTAATACATCTTCCTCACTGTTTAATACACACACAGGTTCATGCACTCTCTGAGCGTCTGCTTGTTTGCAAACCTCTCTCAGCTCCCATGTGAAGCACTGCTCTGCCCATCACCTCCAGCATCCCACGGGACCGCTGCTTTCTCCTGCCACTAGCAACCTCCACCAAGCAGCTTGCCTGGGGATTTCACACACTCCCACCAGTTTGGGGGTTTTTCTGGTAGAGCGTTTTGCTTTCTGTTTGCA